GATAATAGTAAATTATGAAGTATTTAACACACAGTTAAGACAGAAAAGGCATACCTAATTCCTTAATTTTGTCACACATCACAGACAGCTTTCGCCTCTAATTCTATGCTACCTAAAAACAACATGTTTGTTGTAAACCGCCCTCCCTGTAGCTGCGCCACTGATGAAAAAAACACAACTTATGTAAACGATAATAGTAAAGTTAGTGTTGTAAAAATTAAAATATAAATTTATAATACATGATACAAAGTAGTTGGGTATAGCGAAAGCTGAAGATGTTAGAACCAGTGTGTGAATGTTACCGTCTAAGTTGTCGCAAGTGTGTACTCATATATCTAAACTCAAGAAATTGTTTAAGAGGAAACTGATTACAAACAATTACTAGAACTTACAATACGATTGTTTTTTGTGTATTCAGCGTCTATATTAGTGTAGTCTCAAAACAAGGAAAAATATATTATTTCGTACTGGGATTTCGTGCAATGTATATCTTACATACAGCTTAAATTGTACACATATACACCAATTACTAACATACACTAATACAAACACACAAACATACACTAGTACAAACATACTTAGCGAGGGGGATGCGGGGGGCGGACCGCACCGGTTGACACCATTTAGGGGGGTGACACCAAAGCCAGAGGCGTAGCGACCCCTCCCGGCGCCCGGCAACAAACTTTCGATTTGCACCCCGCCCCCCCCCCCCCCCCCCCCCTCGAAATTTCCATTTGCACCCCCCTCAAACTTTCGATTTGCACCCCACCCTTCGAACTTTTCATTTGGCGCCTCCCCTAAGGTCGGCGCCCGGGGACATATGTCCCCCCGCCCCCCCGCCCTCGCTACGCCTGTGTCCAAGGCAAAAAATAGCAAAATGTATAAAGATAATATAAATGATAATTCCGATTAATTAAATTGATTACTACATGAGTTAAATAGCCCGTTAAAGAAAGATTGACAAATCTCGACAAATTGTGAGAGGTTTGTGCATTTTAAAAAATATAGTGCATTTTCAAAAGCAATGTTACAAAAAAAAACAACACAGAAATTGTGTACTTTACTATCTGCCAATAGAATAAGATTTATTATTAAGCCATTTTTTAAGAAAATATATTCTTTATTGTTTGGTTAATTGAAAATAATCAGGACATGTTTAATTTAGATAAAATGATTAAACAAAAAAGTCAGCACTTTCTACGTATCCACTCAACTACTCTAAATAGCAACATCTTTTCGAGAAAAACAGCCAGGATATAATAAAAAATTTGTTTCAGAGAAACTGGACATACTATATTTGCAATTGTAGAATAGGAGGGGCATTGTGTGTGAAGTGGGTTTTTCTTGTGTCTATCATTATGTAGACAAGTGACTTGTAAATCCTGTATCTCGCTAAGTGCAATTAAAACCCTTGAAAATGTAACTATTCTCAAGCATTGTTAACACGAAAAGCTTTTAAAAATACACCAGCTTTGCTGATATTGTACCAGGCACGAAAACTGATGGTTACATGTTCCCACGTTTTAAGTTATTTACGTACAAGGATACACAGTGTTATAATACATATTCACAATTCATTACAGATTAAAGTAGAAGTATTGTTACTTCTGACCTTGTAACACCTCGTTTACACTTGCGACAATGTTACTAGACTTGACCTACTAAAGCGTATACTATACATGTTACGAGTATATGGAACATCTTCTGAGTCGCAGGGCACAAAACCACGCCCCTTTTTGTGTTCTGGGTCAAGTTTTTGTCATCGCTCGCTGAGCGAAAACATAGGACATGTTCTGAATTTTCAGATGAGTGCGCATGCGTCAAAAGTAGTAAGCGCATCATAGGTCTCAGCTGATTGCAAAATTAAATATAGATTCTGCTGATTTTGAGTTTTTGAGCACACGATTTCATAATTTATAATTTCTCTAGGCCCTGCTAAAGTTTACATTTTTATCATTTCTTTTTATTTCTTTAATTAAATTCCAAACACGTTTTAATGAAATAATGTAATGTCTAAGCATTACAATTTTGCCTTAAAACCAGTTTAGGTATTAATTAGGAAAATATTAATTAATTAAAAATATAATTAAACCAAATGTATATCCAATTTTTTTCTTGACCAATATTTTGTTTTAAGTGTATCAACATATTTTCAGTTTCCTTCTGACATGAATAAATCTTTAGGCCCACCAGAATGTGCTCGTGGGATCACACATAATCAACTTATTATAAAAACAGGCAGATTATTATACATGATATACAGGTATTATACACAGCATTATATTTATAAAAACTGTCTAGCTCTAGTAGCTGGCATAAAATTTATAAAATTTTTCATGTTCTCTAATTTTTAGATAATTTATTGTTGAATTGCAAGCACCGTGGCTACATCATTTTCCTTTTGAAAAAAAAACAACTGTGTGCCCACTATCTTTTTTTTTACTTTGATTTCTCTTTATTTTAATTAACTGGGCTTATATTGCAGCTATATAGCAGACGCTCCGGGTCAAAAGTCATGCTTGTTTTATAAAATGTTCTATAACAATGTTCTAGTGTGAACGCTAATGTATACATGTTCTGTGAACAAATTTTTCAAGACAATATTTATTTTTGGCGGGCTTTGTGTTCCAGAAATGTATAGTGTACATTGTCGTAAGTGTAAACGCGGTATAAGAGCCCCAGCGTGTACAAGAGCATTGTGCTGGTCCCCGACATAGGACGCTTTAAATAGAATGCATAGCCTACTAAATATAGCTTAGATAAATAAGATGCCTTACTTTATGCGTGTAATAAGGTAAAAATAACAATAAATAATAGTCATTTAAGACAATTCAAAATTGAGGCAAAACTAGAACAATGTATGATTATTAAAATTGTGTGGATAATACTAAACATGCGTCAAATGTTGATAATTTAAGTTATTTGACATAACATATTTTATATAGAACGAGACGACCCGCTACGTATCATACGCCGCTATCTAGTTGTTTTTTTTTTCTACTTTTCAGTAATTTAGAATTTGTGAATTTGTGAATGCTGCCACTGAAAATATTTGCTTAAAAACACTAAACCCCCCTCCCCCACGTGAAAGCAGCCTCCTCTTAGTTTCCTCCTCTAAGTTTAAAATCGTTTCAAACTAAATTACCTGCCCCTAATAGCCGTCACCAAACCCGTCTCTATGATTGTAAAATGTAAACAGCGTGACCACAGCTCACCAGACAATGTGGGGGTGGGGTGGGGGTGGTTGTGATATTGATAGATAGAAAGAGAGGGAACTGCAAGGAGGCGCTTGCAGCTTGTTTTCTAACTGATCCCAGAAGAGAATTATATATATACGAGCCAACCCGCAGCGTATCATACGCCGCTATTTAGTTGTTTTATTTTCTATTTTCTATTTTCAGTAATTCATAATTTGTGAAAAGCAGCCTCCTCTTAGTTATTTCTTAGTAACCTCCTGTAAGTTTAAAATCGAACTAAATTATCTGCCCCTAATAGAAACCCGGCTGTACGGCTCTACGATTTGTAAACATTTAGCTTTGTAATAATTTAGAGTGAACACCGCTCACCAGACAATGTTTGGGTGGGGTGGGGGGTGGTAGTGATAATGATAGAGAGAAAGAGAGGGGACTGCAAGGAGGCGCTTGCAGCTTGTTTTCTAACTGATCCCAGAAGAGAATTATATATACGAGCCGACCCGCGGCATATAATACGCAGCTATTTAGTTGTTTTTTTTTTACTTTTCAGTTATTCATATTTTTTTTAAATTCGACACTACCAACGCTGCCACTGAAAATATTTCTTTAAAACACTATAAATAGCTCGTTAAAGACGATATCCATACCCCCCCCCCTCCGTCAAATTAAACTCCACTTAGTTACCCCCCTACGTTTAAAAATCGTTTCAAACTAAATTATCTGCCCCTAATAGCCGTCACTTAACCCGGCTGTGTTTGTAATGTTTGTAAACATTAAGAGTGATCCACAGCTCACCAGACCATGTAGGGGTAGGGGTGGTAGGGAGCGCGTTTGCAGCTTGTTTTCTAACGTTGGAATTAACAGGGTGGTAATTGACATGGGGGTAATTTCTCCGGGGGTAAATACGGGAGGGGGGGGGAGAATGTCCTAGGGGTAATATTCGGGGGGAAGTAATGTCCTGTAGCCATTGAGCCTGATCTGACCGTATGCATTATGTTATCTGAAATAATTCGCCTACTTGGTAATAAGCAACAGCGTTTAAAACATATAATACATTTTGAACTCATCGATATTATTTACTTAATTTCAATCCAAATTTAACGACAAGTACAAATGTATATTTCAAACTAATATAGAAACATATTTTATAAAACATCACTTGAGGTGTATATGTATTTGTTTGTCATGTCTTTTTTTTGTATGCTGATGAAAATGCATTCCAAGTGTTATGTAGCTCTTTGAATGAATCTTTCTTTAACTTATACTAGAAAGTATTACCTAGTGCCAAGAACGGGAAAAAAAACACATGATGAATAATAGTACATGATACTTTATTAAATTAAATTATACTAAACTTCAAGTACTCTAATACTAACCTCTCTTTTGCCAGTAATACATGTCCCCAAAATTTTCTGCAGATTAGACTACTTCTCACAATAAAACAACGACAAATACTCTAAATTAGTACAGTATACTGCCAGTACATACTAAACATTAAATGGCATAATAAACAGCCTTTACCTAATTATACGGTTAGACCATTTGCATATGATATATACTATAAATGCTATGACATTTGATTTATTTTTGTGTTACAGTACGTAAAATGTGTTTTTTAATTAATTAATTCGTTCTGCCACACTTGCGGTCGAGTGTAAAATACTTTGGAAATTACACTTATGTGAATATTGCTCATTCTCAGAAGAGGATGTGTCCTGAACCCATTTCGATACATTTCCACGAAACGGTTAAGTCCTGCTTCACCATCCGCAATGTTAAGTAATTGAGGTCACATCCTCTACACTCAGACTATTTAAACGGCATTGACTGCTTCATCTTTGCTTGTGTAATAAATTGCAGCAAGTATAGCGGAATACTTTTTTTTATTTAACTAGAAGTTATTTTTTTTTAAAAAAAAAGGTCAAAATGATCTTTCTTCTGAGCTTGATGATCATTGCAAAATTAACTTGGATCAACGGTAAAGTAGTAAATATGTTTTTCTTGCCTATCGCACAATACTTAATGTATATAATGTTCTGTTATTCTTTAATAGTTTGTCACATCTAAAATTGCCTTTGACTTGCACCTTAATGTAACATAATATAACTTACAAACATGTATTCAGGGCTTGACCTGTCATTAGAGAGAGAACACTACACAGTGGCAAAATATTTATTTTGTGTCAAGGTAAATTGTGTGGAGAATACAAGAGAATATAATAGAATATCAGCTCTTGTTAACCTGTCAGTCGATAATTTCAGTAAATTAGAGGGGAAGATTACGTAGCACTTTTATATATGTTAAATGTGTGCACGTTTTTCCCTCCCTAATAAATTGAATTGAAAGGCTTTTAAATAAATTAATGTTGCCTTTTCAAACCTGACGTTTCATATGACAAGTTAAAAAGAATTCACCTATTTCTGTAATTTCGGCATATGAAGGAATAGTTTGGTCTACACTACGCCTAGCCGTCTAGCGCGCTAGTGTTTTTCCCACGTTTTCTTTAACTTGCTTTCTCTGTTTGTTTGTGGTAGTATTTGTCTTTCCAATCCAATCTTGCGATCAAAATTTCTGGCACTTCCCAGTTAGCTAGCGCGCTGAAATTTTCAGGGAAGCTTTGTTTTGGATGACCATTGAATATTCTATTGTTTTTATTACTAAATTAACCCATGGAAACATTTTATTGATCATTTTAGACCGCTATATAATTGTACCAAAAACGTGGGGGAAAAAGGACATTAACCAGTAATTGTAATTTGATGAAAACAAGGTTCGGCACTCCCCCTCTTTATGCTTACTGAGTAGTTGTCACGCTGTGTTTGTGTACAAACAACCATAACGTAACAACTGGTGGCCAGTATGTGGGAGACGATATGGTCGAGTGGTTGGGCACACGATTGCTATCCCACTCGACACGGGTTCAAATCTATGTGCTCTAGTCAGTAACGTATTCACACAACGTGTTTTTTACGAGTTGTCTTTTTACGAGTTGTCTTTTTACGAGTTGTCTTCGTTTACCCAAAAAAAAAGTGAAAAAATAAAATCGATAGCAAGATTTTAATGCAAACAAACAGACAAACACTAAAAAGTAGAAAATAATAATCATTAAAAAAGTTTTTAAAAACCCACGTTTTCTGATTGAACTAAAAAGTAGAAAATAAATACTATACATGACTATAATGCATGCGATCACTCTACTATAAGCGATCGAAAACGTGGGGCGCCGTGATTTTTCTTACAGTTTCTTACACTTTTGACTCTATACAAGCTCCCTAATAAAAGTCAATAGTATTATCTAATCAATAGTAATATAACTTTTACTTCGGCGACCCACGTTTTTGATCGCTTATAGTAGAGTGATCGCATGCATTATAGTCATGTATAGTATTTATTTTCTACTTTTTAGTTCAATCAGAAAACGTGGGTTTTTTAAAACTTTTTTAATGATTATTATTAAATGCTAAACTATAAATGTAACTATAACACAGTTTATTCCTAAATGGTGTGCCCCCCCCCCGCATTGTGTCTGGCGGCACAGAAAATTGGGAGGTAGGTGTTTGTTGGATGAATTGTGTGCGTACTTTTTTCTTTGGAGTATCGACCTCTTCAGGGCTTTGCAACAGTATTAGTAGCCTGTACATTTCCTTAATGTTGGTTCATCTTCTATATATTCTTCTCTAAATCCTGTCTCCAATTAAATCTACGCGGATTTTTTTCCACAATGGGTTCCTTTTGGGTCCTGATAGTCGATGCCATATATTTGTTTAAAGAGTAGTCACTACTTTGGAATAATAATAAATAATTTACACCTCCTTTTGAATCAGTTTGTGTATTGTGTAACTCTAGTGTTCTTCTTTGATGATGGTTTTAATCAAGTTTCTTTTAAAACTGTTCTTCAGGCGAGTATACATCAAATATTTTGTTCATGCATGCATTGTATTTTTATATTAGTTCTCCAAGTTATTGCTCTATGCAAACGTTTAGGCTTAATCATTTTAGTTTTAACTTGACAATCAGTTTTCTCTAACTCAAGACGTTTTCATATGGCTAAAAGCTGCTCTTGCCTTTCCAATTCTGACTTTTTTTGTCTGCACCTCTCCGAGCTATATTTTTATTGTTTATCCTGCCTTGGTCGTGGCAGATTTTATGTTTTAGATATATTTATCTTTCAGTTATACAGGAGAGATATTTATTTTTTCCTTTTTTCTATACGATTCTGTTTTTCTCCTTATAAACTTGCTTTTAGAATTGTAGATATTTTGGTTGCTTTTTTCCCTATTGTAATTATTATTGCTTCGGTGAGATAAGACGAGATATTCTACGAAGTCTTAGTCATCAAATTGTTATCAGTGAGTCCGTGGTATATACTTTCTTTTTTACTCTGTTGCAATTCTCATGATCCAATCTATGGTAAGATGGACCATCGCTAGCGACAATTGTTGACCAGTCTCATTCTTAACTTTATCTTTTTCTTATGCAAAACTCTACACTTTAATTCCGTGTAAGACTTTGCATTTCTTTGATACGTTGCTCAATTATATCTGAGTATCAAAACAGCGAATGTGCCTTTCAACAAGGAATGTTGTTTGTTTACTCGTGAGAGCTCTACTCCGTTTAGCGGTTTTATCAACATACCGTATTTTATCAGCATATCATATTTTTTCAACATACCATATTTTATCAACATACTATATTTTATCAACATACCATATTTTATCACCATGCCATATTTTATCAACGTACCATGTTTTTTCAACATACCATATTTATCAACATACTATATTTTATCAACATACCATATTTTATCAAGATACCATATTTTATCAACATACCATACTTTATCAACATACCATATTTTATTAACATACCATATTTTATCAACATACCATATTTTATCAACATACCATATTTTATCAACATACCATATTTTATCAACATACCATATTTTATCAGCATACCATATTTTATCAACATACCATATTTTATCAACATACCATATTTTATCAACATACCATATTTTATCAACATACCATATTTTATCAACATACCATATTTTATCAACATACCATATTTTATCAACATACCATATTTTATCAACATACCATATTTTATCAACATACCATATTTTATCAACATACCATATTTTATCAACATACCATATTTTATCAACATACCATATTTTATCAACATACCATATTTTATCAACATACCATATTTTATCAACATACCATATTTTATCAACATACCATATTTTATCAACATACCATATTTTATCAACATACCATATTTTATCAACATACCATATTTTATCAACATACCATATTTTATCAACATACCATATTTTATCAACATACCATATTTTATCAACATGCCTTATTTTATCAACATACCATGTTTTATTAACATACCATATTTTATCAACAGTAGCGTACGCAAGGGGGGAGCAGGGGGAGCGGCCGCAACCCCCCATCTGGCCATTTTTAGCAAAGTGGCGCCTTTTTGGAAACATTTTAAACTCAAACTTTTAAACATTGATATTTGTTAAAAAATTATTTTTGGTCGGCACATTTTTGTAAATCACAAGATTTCTTTTCATGCAGCAATTAAGCATTATTGTACTAGTCTACTAGTGTCTACGTTTACAAAACGTATTAACAGCTGCTTCAGTTTCCCATTCTAAAAATAACCAATAACGATGCGTTGCAATGTTTAAAAAACCTCTACTTGTAGTAACACTCGAAAACAGGTCTGTTAAGTTTAAGGCAACTGTATAATGTATTTGCTTATGAATAATTGCATTAGAAAATGTTATACATAAAACTTCACACATAATTACTTTTTATAATCGTGTGATTAATTAAAAAAAAAATTACAATACAATTATATGAAACAGTTACAACCCCCCCCCCCCCCATGGATCCCTCTGTAAAAAAATATTGTTATAATATACCACTGCTACTTATTGAAATCTATTTCTGAATCAGTATACATTTGTAATATATATATACTAGGCATACTGCCTAGCTTCGCTTAGGTTTTTAAAAAACATTTGAGAATTTGAATACTTAATTATTTAGCGATGGATTGGGTGGTGAGTGCTTTAATTTAAACAGTAATGCTAACTTTAGAAAATATGTTTTTGTTTGTCATTTAAATTCCGTTGGTAGAAAAATATAGGAAAGTACGCAATGTATAACTAAAATGGAATTAGAACTACACAGGTTCCATGAACAGTATATCTAATAGTTTATATTACATTGCCTTTTGAAATTTATTTGATTATTTAATTAAGATACGTAACTAAATTAACAACTTAATTTTGTACTAAACAAATGCTATACTTCGTCATGTTCTGTTTCTGTTTAAAATAGTATACAATTATTTGAAAAATAATAATTTTTAAAAACGTTACCTCCCTTGAAACCTGAACGTATGACGAATGTCATTGTTTACTTATATAGTTTGCTTATATAAGAAATAACGTTATATGAACATATTTAACGACTATATAGGCTGTTTCCGACGGGAATCAAGTTTTTTTTGTTACCCTCCAGGGTCGGTCTACGACGTCACATAATATTAAGGGGATCGTTCGTCAATTTATTTATATATATATCTCATATAAGGAGAATTTCACTCATGATCATCTTTTAGCTCTCGTCGAGGGCTTTGAGTCCGACCAACAGTTTTTCCATACGGCCTAGTACCCTATAGTAGTGTATGCAAAAACTTAGCATGATGTACAGACGTTAAGTCATCTAAAAATTGTGTTAAAATTTCCCTGTTTTGCTATAAAATACAAAGATTATATAGGGAAATACAACTGGTCAGTTTTGACCCCTTTACGAAGTTTTCCCAGATATGCCGAGTTTTTTATGACACCCCTAGGTGTTCTTCTACCACCTCACAAAATATCAAGGGGGGTCGTCGGAGGAAAAAATTTTTCGCAATAGAGCTCATATAAAGAGAATTTCACTC